AACGAAAAAAAAAAAAAAAAACCAATCAAAACAAAAAAACCCAATCGAAACTTATATCCAAGCACACCCTTAGGGATTTTGTTGTTTGGCCCAGGGTTACTAACCTAAATCTCTTATAGATGTAAAAATTTGGTTTCTTGCTATCATCTACTTCATATCGGGGGTTCCAGGGGCTTATGTGTTGTGGTATCGTCCACTTTACCGCGCTTTTAGGTTCGTATTCTTTTTTGCCAAATGAAATTTCACATTTCCTGTTACATAATTTCTCTGCACATAGGAAAATGCAACTCAGATTTAATGGATTTGTTTTTGTGTACTATTGGAAAATAAAAGTTGTGAATGGGATCTTTGTTGGGTGATGAGAACAAGTAAACAATTTTCAATTGATAAGCGGTTTGACTTTTGACGGTGTTATTTAATTTTTGCAGGACTGAAAGTGCGATGAAGTTTACCTGGTTTTTCTTGTTTTACTTGGTGAGTTTCCTAATTTATATATCAATTTATAATGGATGTCACTATTTTATTATTATGATAAAATAGTTTCCTATTTATGATAAAATATGTAATTCGATGACTTTAACAGCTCCACATTGGCTTCTGCATCTTTGCTGCTGTGGCACCTCCTGTAGTTTTCAGAGGAAAATCTCTTGCGTAAGCCTGCCTTTAATTTCTCTCCATCCGAATTTAATTCATGATATCTGAAAGCTGTTTCTTTTTTCACTTTATTTATGTTATTATGTATTCACAGTCTTACTTTTCATGTTACTAGTGCGTATTTTTCTGTTGTTTTATTATTGTCACTATTTTTTCTGTTGTTTTATTATATGCAGAGGGATCCTGCCAGCTGTGGATTTAATCAGTGCCCATCTATTGGTTGGAGTAAGTTAGTTTCCTCTAAATGTAGACAACTTAAAACCGAGCTGAAAACCCGTACAAAAAGTTAATCAAACTTGACCTTTGAAATTAGAAACCTAAAACAAGTTTTATTTTTTGTTGCTCTTTTTGACCGAATACTTCTTGTCGGGCATCTTGACACAAGGTTTTTGTACGTTTTTTTGTTATGCTGCAGATATTCTATTTCATTGGGTTTGGACTTTTCTGCCTGGAATCAGTTCTCAGCATCTGGGTCATACAGGTTAACAAAAGATATAAATATATTTCGTGATTGCAAAAACGCAAATTCTGAGAATATGTAGTCATTTTCTTCTTTTTTTTCCCGGTTTCGCTTATAATTACGTTACATATGTGCAGCAAGTTTACATGTACTTTCGAGGCAGTGGCAAAGCTGCAGAAATGAAGCGTGAAGCTGCTAGAGGAGCTTTGAGGGCGGCAATTTAAGACGTGCTAAAGGTTTACATAGTATTCGGCTGCACATTCGAAAGCATATGTTTTACTAGTCAAGGTTTTTTTTTTGGGGGGGGGCGATATATATGTTATTTATTTATTCTTTTTTTTTCTTTTGAATGAACTTTGAAGAAAGGGGATAGAAAGAATGACTCAGACCTGCAATGTGACAAATCTTTGTTTTGTCTGTATATTTACACTGTTTTAGCAATTAGTCATCTCATCTGTGTCTGTACTCTGTAGCTGCTTAAATTTTGTTGATTTATTTGTCTCTTTTACTCATAAAGTTTGGTATTAGGGATGCCTTAGTTCACTTGTGTCTGTGGTAAAGTATTTGAGTGAGAAATTGCACTCTCATTACAGATTGAAATTCTTAAACCTGAAAAAATCCAATCCCATCTTTACATAATTGTATTATTGTACCTTCACATGTTACATACAAATTACAAACTATAGAATAGTGTTGTTTCAACTTTCCTGCATTATCACAACACAACCAACACTTTAGGCTATTGTTTGGATCTAATAAGTTAGCTTATAGAAAGTGAATTTAATAAGCTAGCTTATTAGTTGATAAACTCCTCAACATGCCTTCCAAATTATCAAACATATGTATAGATTTAATCAAAGGCTAGACGAGTTCCAGCTGGCATCGACGGCCCTGATAATCTTGTCGTGCAATCGTTCTCCAGAACAAGCGATTATGCCTCGGTCGAGACCTTCCAAATACTTACCTTTGGAAAAGCAAAGTGGATGGCCTCCGGCATCAGTCACAACACCACCGGCTTCTTGTATGATAACAACACCAGCCGCATGGTCCCATATCTTCTCTTTATAACCCGACCGAGCAAACTTCATGAATATCTCGGCATCTCCTCGGGCTATAGCCGCGTATTTCACCATCGAGTACACGCGCAATGGTTGATTCCTGCATCCCGTTATATGGATTATCATGAGATTTTTTCAGATAAAATTTTCAATTTTAGTCGTGTATGTTTCACTACTCTAACTTTTTCATCCGAATTCGAATTGTTGTTTTGATTTTTCGTCCCTTGTATGTTTGCAATAAAGTTACAAAATGGTCATTTTCGCAACAAAAAGGTCTCTTCCGAATTTGTGAAAAAGGTTGCAATTTCGTACCTTATGTATGCTCAGTGACCTTTTTTGTAATTTTTTTACAAACATAAGAGACGAAAATCAAAACAACAATTCGAAGGGGATGAAGAAGTTAGGTTGATAACATACAAGACTAAAATTGCAATTTTCTCATTTTTTTTTTCATGCACAACCACAAATTCAAGACAAGAACTAGTATGATTTTCGTCCTTGTGAAAATGACCATTTTGTAATTTTATCTTATCAAAACAGTAATTCAAATTCAAAGGGGAGAAAAAGTTAGGATAGTAAAACATACAGGATTAAAATTGTAATTTTCTCATTTTTTATGCACAATCACAAATTCAAGACAACGATTTTCCCCATTTTTGTTTTCTTTCCAAGTCGAATGAAAAAAAAGAAAAAAAAGTCGTGAAAAAGTTCTACTTTCACCCGACTGCATTCAGAGATGCAAACTCAAAATCTCACCTCAGCCCGACACTGTGAGCCAGGCCCGCCGTAAAAGAATGGCTCAAATTCCCCTTCTCCACCGGCTCACAAAACGTGGCTAGCCCCGGTTCGTTGACCCGCGAAACCCGGACCCGACTCGCCCGACCCGGCCAAACGAGCTCCCTCCCTTGCCCAACCAACGGCTGCATCCACGATCCCCCTCCACCCCTCCTCGCGTAGATCACACATCCCCCATCCCCACATCCCGAGTCCGCCAGCTGGGACACAATCCTACGGTACCCGTTCGAATAACCGAGCCACCTTTTATCCACAGGATAATTAGGGCACCCGAGAACCCCAACCACAGGCACGCCGTTTTCGATTAAAGAAAGCGCAATTGCGTATTGGTCCCCACAAAGGAACCCGAGAGCCCAGAATCTCCCAGTGGGCCCACCAGTTGAAGTGCACCGGCCAATGGCTTCTATAATGTTTGAGGGGGTTAGAAGGCCCGGTGGAAGTTTGAGCCCGAATGAGGTGGATTGGGATAGACATTTGTTGACTGTGTCTGTTATAGTGGTTAGTAAGGGGAGGGATTCGGGCTTGGAGAGGTGATGGGCTTCTTCCTCGGCTAGGATCGAGATGTTGTGGGCCCCGAGGGATGAGGAGAGTATGTAGCTTATAGTTGCTTGGACACTCCAATCTGATTATTAAGAGTTGGGAATTTTTCGGAGGGTTAAGGCAAAACCTATGTCAAAAATGCGCCTCTTTAGGGCTTGATGGGTTTTCAGAGATAAAAATGCTCAAGCGGAAGCAAAGATTTTTACGAAGATCACGCTCAAGTTGTGATTGTACAAATCAGATTGAATCAAGTTGCGAGTCGCAGAAAGAATATCCGATTTTCCAAGATTTTTACAAATCGTAAATTGTACAAGTCAATGAAACTTGTTTTGATTATCTATTAATCTATAGAACAAAAGTAAGCGGAACTAGTATATGACTGGAAAAGTAAAGCATTGTTGTGTTACTTGTGTAGTTGTCAAGCACGTAGCTTACGAGTTAAATTTCAAGCATGTAGCTTACGAGTTAAATTTCTACTCACCTATGCAAATATTCAGGAATATGCAATGACTATGCAAATATTCAGCAATATGCAAGAACAAGTTCAAGTGAATTTGTATGCATGCATCCAGCACAAGTAAAAATATATAGGTGATGTAAGATGATGTATCGTTTTATTATTGTTTTTTTGTTTCATTAAGCAATTTTTGTCAAGAAAATAAGAAAATCCTATTACATGATAAATAAACAAGAAAAAAAAAAAGAGAAAAAAAAAGGTTTAAGACTATGCCTACGTCCTATAAACATTTTTTTAAGCATAAATTCTTGATGATGAAGTCTAAAGGTTCATTTTTCAACCAAAATGCATATTTATGCAAGTTATTCATACTATATTACTATATTAGTCAAACACTTTCAGCCAAAACCAATGATATCCCATCAAAAGGAAACAAACAATAAGACTAAACAAACAAACAAACAAAACAGCACCTGAGAAGACATTCTTGACCAAAAACTGAACAGTAACACAGAAGGAATAAATCATGGGCCAATGATAAGAGAAAAAGCAGTGGTTTCACTTTCAACACCACCCAACAAATTCCAACAAAAAAAAAGCTCAAAACACAACACACTAACAAACAGAAAAAGGTTCAAATTCAAATTGCCAATTTCCTCAAAATCATCAAACCAATTGAAAGGAAATTAAGCACAAGGAAATGGTAAAATTGAGCAACAAATTACCAGCCACCGTGACAGGGGAATCGTCGTCCTTGGACTGCACATGTCCATTGCTGTCCGCGAGGAAGCTCGCCTGAACTCCCCGGCAGAGCAAGCACGCCATGTGGACCGCCTTCACGGCGACCTCCAACTCCTCGGAGTATTTCCCCTCCAACTCCATGGACCGATCGGATTCCAAGGTCTCGCTGTAGTCCTGAGCAGTTGGCGCAAAAATCGGCCGGTCACAATCGGCGAGTGAGGAGGACGGGTGGCTGGCTAGGGTGGGGCGTAGGGTTTTGTGGAGGCTCGACTGAAAAATTCCCAGGCGGTGGCAGCGTTTTCCGGCGGCTGGCGACAGGGCATGAGGAGGGAGAATTTGAGCTGCCAAATTTGAAGCAGAAATGTGCATTTTTTAGGAAAGGGCGACTTTGAGGAGATGAAATTAATAAATGTTTGATGGGTATTTAGAGCATCTCCAATGTTATAGCTTTGAAAGACAATAATTTTTAACATATGTCAATCAATGATTGTAATGTTAATCCATGTAGGAATAATGTTAATAGAGTAGAAATTTGAATCAAACTAGTATCTCCAATGCATCAATTTCATAAGAAGTTATTTGTATAGGTGGACCAATTAAAATAATCATTAATACAAGAACAATAAAAAATTAAATCAAATATGAAGTGAATTGATTAGTCATCATGTTTAACATGGTGTTAGATATTAGAAAGTGTGTTCAACATTGTTAACATTAAATGCTATCCACCTCATCATGAAAGAGTTCATGACTAGATGCATTGGAGAATAAATTTGTAACACACTTTCAAAAGTTGATGATATGGATGAATTTTTATAATGTCAAAAGCCACATTGGAGATGCTCTTATAGTGGTGGAGTTAAAAGGCGGAGGTGGTGAATGATTGGGCCGGGCTGGGGAGAAGGGTCGACTTGGGCATTGGCTAGTCGGGCCGTCGTTTTTCAGGGCCATGTTTGGCCCATCCAATCCAGGCACAGACCAAGAGACTAAAAATTAAAAACTACCTCTTAGTACCCTCGTGCAAGCTAGACATAAAAATAATAAAAAAAATAAAAAGCAAACAAAAACTACACTTGATGATGTAAGATCTCCAAACAACTTTAGTCAATAATAGAACTATTATACAAAACGAGTTGCTATTGAGCTTGGCTTAACTCGATTTGACTCGTTTATCTCTCGAGTTTCGTTCAAGTTCGTGTATTTAACAACCCGAGCTTAGTTCAACAAGGTTCGTTAAGATTTTCTTTATATAATTTTTATAGTCAGATCGTTAAAACTTTAGTTCGACTTGTTAATATTAAAAAAAACGAGCTAAGCTCAAGCTCGATTACTGACTCATTAGGATAACGAGTCAAGCTTGACTCACTTTGTTTACACCCTAAGTCAAGATGCAATCATGTTTTACTACTTCAAGTAATATGTACAAATATGTTGACACATTATTTATCGATTACAAATACCTAAATTGACAAAAATTAGAAAGTCAGCCACTTAAATTGCTAAGGCTAGGTATATTGTTGTTTTTAAATTGCAATTGAAGTAAAAGGAATGAATTGTTTTAAAATTTTGACTAAACGAATGTTGACCAATTTTTAACCTAATGTTTACCAATTTGGCACTTAATTTGCAATTATTCTTATATAAGATCCACATTCTAGCTATAGTGAAGTCGTAGAAACCCAGGATGAGATAAGGCTAAAACATTTTTTTTTTTTTAAATACTTAATCAAAGTAAATCACATTAATGTACCCTTAGTAAAACCTTCACGGAATCAAACAATGAGAAAATTTGATGAGAATCAACTTTTATTCCCACTTGAGTGAAGCATCAAATCAAAATTGACGGTGCAGTAAAGCTCTATTATTCCTCAAGAAGATAATGATTATAAACAATGGAAACAGTCAATTTTGGATTTGCACCATTCTTAATACATGTCATATGTCCTAATATTAGGCAAGCGTCATTGTTAAATGAACAAATTGCAAGAGTGATATGTAACACAATACAATTGGTTATTCTCAATGGTGCATTTAAATGATAAGAATCGTGAGTAGATTCATATTAATTTGGTTTGGCTCGGCTTACTAACATTTGAGCCGAGTTCGAGCTCATTTAACTAAAGAATCCAATATTCAGCTTGTTAAGACTTCATAACATAGATTTTACATAATCTTCTTAATTTCTACCTTAGTTTGGTTTGTTAAAAGTTTAAAAATATTTTTATTTAGAAATTTACACTAATTAAAATCTTAATACTGATAGAAGAGTCGCGCTCGCTCTTGTTTGAAATCTGCACATTTACAAGTGTTTGACACTATTTCATGACTAACAAGAACGCATTCTTGTATATCCATAATAATAAATAAATAAATGTTTTTTTATTAAAAATAAATAAATATTTTATTACTACGACAAAGTTAAAAATCATATATCTTTCAGTTTATTCATTCTTATTTTTTCTATTTTCCATGTCATAATTATTGAAAGAAAGAAAAATGACCAAGTTTGAACACAAGCCAATATTTTATCCACCCACACTGAAAAAGGATGAGCACATACTTTCCAATTGTAGGCTGCACAACTAAATAGGTCATATGGGGTCTATAATTTGAAATTTTGAACACATGATCCCTTTGTTTGTGAAGTTCAGTTTCATATAAGTTATTGCCCAATACTATAAACTAGCACGTAGCCCGTGCGACGCACGGGACATAAGTATTAATGAGTTATTTCTACAGAACTTGTCCGTTAAGTAGCTCGTGCGATTCACGGGAGATATTAAATGAGTGGACCATAGGGCTTGTCCGTTCAGACCTAAAAAATAATAGAGTTTTTTATCATCTATCTTTTTACATCTTTTCATCAACGTCATTTTTTTTGTCAGAACATTAAACCTGAGTCTGGTAGCGGTAGCCCGTAAATTAATTAATATATTATCTCGCTCACATGTTTATAATAATATAAATTTGATTTCACTATATATTTATTCATTGATATAAGAAAAATAACAATTTTACGTAATCTTGTTTCTCGTATAATACTTATATTATTTCATTATAAAATTTATTGTAGTATAATGTCATTATTATTATAAGTTATAGATGTAATCTTCTTCTTCTTTTTGTTTTATGTAATTAAAATATTTAATGTATGTTCATATTATTTATTAATAAAATTAATTTTAATTATGTAAATAAATTTAAAGTAAAACATTTTGTACAAACATTTTACAAAATATACACAAATGTTTTTTTAGAATTTAATTTTCTTACAATAAATAACAGCTTTGAAACTGTATGCAATTATTAAAACCGATTAAATCTGCTTTATTAAAATCGAGTAAATCTTTATTTATAGACTTGACATTAAAACTGATTTTATGAGATTTTTTTTAACTAAACCGATGTTATGGAATAAAACAAATCTATACTTGCATTTGACTTTTCCAGCAAAAGTAAAAAAATCGGTTCTGATTTTTATCCCATAACAAATCTTTAATGTCAAGCTATAAATAGCAAAACAAATCTGTAATTAATGTCATTCTATTTCCAGCAAACATTAATTACCTTTGATTTTTCTTAATACTAAATCTGGTAAATGGGATACCTTTTAATATAAGTATAGATTTTGAAAATCATTAATCATGCTGAGATCATTATGACCATTTTATTATATTTTATACACAAAAATTGAACCTCATGATTCATATATAAGTGTAATGTTTGATTGGGACTTGAAAAAGTTTTTAATGTTTATCATTCACTAAATAGTAAATCCTCATAAAAAGGGATTGAAAGAAAAAAGAAAAAAAATGTTTTCGATGATGCAACGCATAGTTCATCATGGCGTCCTTCAAAATATATAGAAAATATTCATTTTAGCATTGTTCTTTGGGATTACTAAATTCTAATTATATTAAAAGTTTATATTCTTACTAGTATTCGACCTGTGCATTTGCACAGATATAAATAAATTATTGTGAGTCTGTATGCATATAATGATTAATTATTTTTCTTTCACTTTTTTGCAGACCAAATTTACAATTAAAAGAGTTGGAATATTTTTTTTTTTTAAATTGCGTTTATCTAATTGGATGTAATGTATATTTTGGTACGTCTTTTATTTGTAAAAAAAAATTAAATGTAACAACAATAATAACATCTAATCACATTATACGGTCAACACATTAAAATAACTTATTTTTTTATGAGTGTCTGATAAACACCATAGACTAGCTTGTAATAATAAGTTTATTTAGTTAGTTTATATGTTTTGTGTATTCAAATAAGTTTAGTTTAGTAGAACAAGTTTTCGAACTTATCTCATAAACTTTCTCAAGTAACTTTCAAATAAGCTCGCTAAAAATTTTATTTCAATTAACTTATAATTAATTTTACCAAACACTTCTATAAGCTTTTCGATTAACTATAAGCGGTAAACTATAAGCTCGAAATTCACTTATAAGTTATCAACTAACTTATCCAATTTACCAAATATTGTTTATAATTATCTTTGTACTTTACCTGTCATTAAATAACTTATTCTGAGTATGTCCTGTTAGGCTTTCTATTTGCATAAAATTCCCAGGGTCCAACCACATGATACAAAGTAATATATAGTGTGTCTATGGGCCGTCAATATAGATCCATTCACATTGTCCATATGACACACTTATATAGTGTGTCTACGGGCCGTCAAATTTATTTATAGATCCATTCACATTGTCCATATGATACACTTGGGCTTTAGCACTTGAATTGGACATTCATAAGGTGAATTGGTTGGTTAAATATTTTACACACTTGGGCTTTAGCACTTGAATTGGACATTCATAAGGTGAATTGGTTGGTTAAATATTTTACACTTCATCTTTAAAGACCTTCAAAACACTTGAGCTTCCAGTAAATATTCAGAAGTTCAAGTTACTTATTTACTAAATTACCACTAAATCAAGATAAAAACTTCAAAACACTTGAGCTTCGAGTAAATATTCAGACGTTCAAGTTACTTATTTACTAAATTGTCACTAAATCAAGATAAAAATTTTAGGAATGATACGTATAACCTCATTTCTCATTACCTTTAGCCTCTTCACTTAACTCTCATTTCCTTTTGTCGAAAGGTCTCATTACCTTTAGCCTCTTCAATTGTCAGTATAATTAGGTTATCCGAGGACCCTAACCCGAGCTATATCAGTCTATCATCCGAACCAAATTTCTTTTGAAACTTACAAATAGAGAAGTACAAGAAGAGTCGTTGTTCTTTTGAAACTTACAAATAGAGAAGTACAAGAAGAGTCGTTGATCAATAGGTACGACTGTCCAATTCCCAAGAAATGGCAAGTGAAGGAAACAATCTTATTCAAGATTGGTTCATTACTAAATCTTTTTTTCTTTTTATAATCTTTTCTTCTTTTTATATAAAGAATGAAATCAAAAGTGATCGACGCCAAATATATATACTGTTTGGCGTCTATATATTGTTAGTAACTGACTTAGATTACCTATTGAGAATTCACTATAATTTTCTTGATGTTGTAGGAATTACTTGATTAATCTTCTAAAAAATAAATTAATCTTGACATAAATAATGTTGTATTTATTTGTATTTTTTCAATCATATATCAATAATTTAAATAAATAAATATATGTAAGATGATATACTTCATTAAATAATATTTTTGGTATTAAAATTAATTTAAAATAAAGAAAATAAAATAAAAATATTCATATAGAGTAAAATGTAGCGTAAAACTCTACTCTACACAACTCTTAACTCAGTAGAGTAAATTCTAGAGTAGAAACAAGGGTTTGAGATGATCTGACGAACCACACCTGTAGAAATTAGTCCGCAGTAATATTTTGTGCAAGCATCTTATCCTCATTTTACATTCAACGTTATGGGTTTTCCCAGCTTACATAGGTTTAGTTTTTACACGGACAAAGTTATGTTTCCTCTCAAGACAGAAAAAAAAAATTCCAATTCCATGCGCATACGAGAGCAGTCTCTATATTAAGTAATAACAAAGTCTGTTCGTCTCCAGCTAAAAGCTCCGAGTAACACCCGACTGTCCTCTCAAGCGCCCTTCCTCTTTTGCTCCTTGGACTGTTTAATATCCTTCGTCAGCATTCTCGGAGCTATAGCCATGGCCATCAGCTCCTGGAAAAGCAGCTTACAAGCATACGGAATATAAGGCCGGAAAAGATAATGTTAGCCCGACCGCAAGATTAACTCGGGAAGTAAAAAAAAAACAAAAAACCCGAAAACAGATAGAATTTTACCTGCACTATATCAGTCTTGTTCTTACACCCCCTGCACTCGAACGAATTCTTCTTCAAATTCGCAATGGCAATCAACCCGCACTTCTCACACACATGAATCCTATACGCGTCACTCTGGTCAAACAACCTCTCCTTCAGAAAATGGGCTGCCCCATGCGCAATCATACAGTCACGCTCCATCTCCCCAAACCGAAGCCCACCGTCACGCGACCTTCCCTCGGCCGGCTGCCTCGTCAAAATCTGGACCGGCCCACGACCCCTCGAGTGGATCTTATCGTCCACCATATGCTTCAGCCTCTGGTAATAAGTGGGCCCGAGAAATATCATCGAGGACAGTCGCCGGCCCGTATGCCCATTGTACATAGTCTCGTAGCCCCTCATCTGATACCCGCACTTATGAAGCGCCCGACTGATATTATCCACAGTCACATCGGTAAAAGGAGTCGCATCCCCTTCTTTTCCCATATGCGCCGCGACTTTTCCCATAACGCACTCGATGAGCTGGCCGATAGTCATTCGAGAAGGGATAGCGTGCGGGTTCACGATAATATCGGGACAAATTCCTTCGAGAGTCCACGGCATGTCTTCTTGAGTGTACGTCATGCCGACCGTACCCTTTTGCCCGTGTCGACTACTGAATTTATCGCCAATTTGAGGTATACGGACAGATCTGACACGGACTTTTACGAACCGTAAGCCGTCGGCGTTTGTGGTGAGGAGAACTTGGTCGACTATTCCGGTTTCGCTGTGGCGGAGGCTCGTGCTGTGGTCTTTCTTGGTGTATCGGGCGGCGGCGGCGGGCGTCTGGCCGGAGGCCTGAGCGTCGTCGGGAGTTATGGGAGTGGTTTTGCCGATTATGACGTCTTCGCCGGAGACGCGAGTTCCGGGAGGGGCGAGGCCGTCGTCGTCGAGCTTGTCGTACGAGCCGTGGCGCATGCCCATGGTGTTGGCGCGGTCGGGTTTGCCGAAATCTTCCTTGACGAGAGTGCCCATTTTCTTCTCTTCGTCGCGGTAGGAGCGGAAGAAGAGGGAGCGGAAGAAGCCGCGGTCGATGGAGGATTGGTTCATGATGACCGAGTCTTCTTGGTTGTAACCCGAGTAGCAGGCGATGGCTACGATGGCGTTGATGCCGGCAGGAAGCTGCCGGAAGTGGAGATGCTCCATGGCTCGTGTGGTGACGAGGGGCTTCTGGGGGTAGTACAGCACGTAGGCCAATGTGTCCTGATTGACAATTTTTGTTAGAGAACAAAAAAGAAAAAAAAAAAAGGAACGGGTGAATTCGAGAAAATGTGACGGGAGTAGTGAGGGAGAGGGAACCGGGATGTACCATTCGGAATTGGTAGTTGGTGACATAAATTCCCATGGCTTGCTTGCCCATAGCTGATTGGTAGGTGTTACGTGGGGACTGTGAGGAGAGCACGATTTAACACAACGCATTTAAAGATGAAGATTGAGATGAATCGATAGTGATATTTATGTAATTATTTTACCTGGTTGTGATCTGGGAATGGAATGATAGAAGCACAGACACCGAGTATTAAGGACGGGTGAATTTCACAGTGCGTGTAGGTGTCTGAGTAAGCATCACTTGGATTTAGCCTGGCGCTTACAAGATCCTGAACAAAGAGGACACACACGGTTGAAATGTTTTCAGCATCTCAGTGGTTTAAATTTATGAGGGAGAACAGGGGCTTATTAGTGAACTTACATTTATAGTCATGGAAATCATAGTAGTTTCCTCTTCTTCTGTATCAATGTATTCTATAAATCCTTTTGCAACTAGCTCATGCCAGCCACCATCATCAGGAGATTCCTGGGGGGGAAAAAGCATGATGAACAAGCAACAATGCAGAATTGCATCACACATTTTTTAATAAACCCATTGAGGTGACATGTAAGTCGAAACTACAGAAACTACAATCACCTGACACTTGTTAAGGTTGCAATTCTTAAAAGAATACATATTATATCAAGAGGTAATGGTAACTTTGAGAGAGGGAGAGCTCAAGTATGTACATAACCCTTATATCAATATATAAAGAGGGTAAACCAATAGCCAAAAGCATATTATGTTCGGCTTACTCTTTGTTGCAAGGCTTGAATATCCTTCTTTTTTATTAGGAGTCTTTGCTTCTCCACGATAAATAAAGGACGGCTACAGCGACCATAATCAGTATATATCCGAAGTTCTTTCAAACGAATGTCTCGAACCACCCCAACCTCAGTATTGACATCAACCTGTCCACAGAACAAATAAACTGTTAAAAACAAAATAAAGCCTCATGAGTTATGAGCAGAAAAGAAAGAAAATGAGCACTTACACGTCTCCTCAAACGTCTTAAAGTCGAAACCAGCATATCAGGATTGCGATGGATACCAACCCAACAACCGTTTACAAAGATCTTTGTTGCTTGAGGGATCACAGCAGGGGAAATTTCCTTGAAGAGGTGAAAATAAAATAAAATTGTGAATGGCCAATTATATAGCAGTACAACCATCTGACCAATGTTTAACAGAGAGTTGACGCACCTCAAAGTTCTCAGTGCCCCATTCCTCCAAGAATTCCAAAATTGGATATGCTGCTGAACCAACTGTAATGTAGACCATCAATGCAAGGTTCTTTACCAACCCACATGCCTGGTGAGACAGCCCAGTGAAAGAATATGTTTACAAACAGGCAAAATAATTTAACAAACTGAATATTCCAGTGAACACCTTAGAGTGGACCTACCTGTCCTTCAGGTGTTTCCGCAGGACACATCATCCCCCACTGTGAATTGTGTAGCTGCCTTGGTTTAGCCAGTTTTCCTAAAAGATAATAAGCAAATTCAATTTTAATAATAATTAGGGAAAGATGGCATGCATTAACTAGGATACTTTTCATAAGATTGGCACAAAAGTGAGCCACTCTATTGGCAAAACAAGTGCATACTTTCTGTCCCAATGAAGTAAGAGGGAGCAAATAAATTGAGATGCCCCATAAGTACCAAGCACTGGTGGATAATAGTTTTACTTAATCCATAGAAGAAGATCGAATATATTATGGAAATGAGCAAATACCTTCACGGCCAATAGGAGAGTTGAGTCTTCGCAAATGTGACAAGGTAGAGGCATAAGTCAAGCGATTTAACACCTGTAACGTTTCGTTCCAATTGTCCTCGGTTAGAACAAATTTTAAGCAGGTCACAATTAACAGAAGTATTTAAACAGATGTCTGGTACACAATTCAACCTGGGAAACTCCAGCCCTAGTACCCGCGGCATTTGCTTGGCCCCAGTTCCCAGTAGCAAGTGAGTATTTTAGACCACTGGTAATCGTTTTGGCTTTTATAGCAAATTGCAGATTCACATCCTTGCCATTATCTACACACTGATAGTGTGGAGAATCAAGTAAATATGCATTTCAAAAAACCCATCTATATATTCGCCACATATTACAGAAAGGCCAGGAAGTGGCGAACCTTCTGAACATATGATCTTACATCCCTGGTCAACTTTCTGAATAGCTGCACCAAGAATAGAAGCCCGAAATCAGATAAGTAATATGTCACTTTTCTAAGGTCAAATGACCAGCACTACATGGCTATGAACAACAAACCATTCGAAACAGGCCCCCAAGCAAAGGACCAGCAAGATCTAGTCTTTTATTCCCATAGTGGTCTCTATCATCCTCAGCTCTTCGGCCAAGTGCACACAGCAGAAGCCGGTGGATGATGTACCTGCACAAAGAGGCAATAGGCAATACTTTAACAGCAGCACCAACTACCGTAAGACCAAAACCGCTGAGAAAAATGACTTACCCGAAATAATAACCTTTCTTGGTCTCACAATGTTCCCCGACGCCAACATGAGGAAGCATTTCTTTTTGAAGAATCTCTTTAGCATACCTGCATCAGGGCTTTTAATTATAACTTTGTAACAAACAGACCACTATGAAATGAGTATAGAGCAATTTCAGCAGGACAAACTTGATTCTTTTCTCTCGAGTGACACCAACGGTAGCTCCTCTTTTTCCAATGTAGTCCAAAGCAACCTGCATTTGATACAGGTAAGATAATTGTGGAACAAGTTAAATAATTAAGATGAAGCACACTCCTTGATGAACATATGTGACTATGTGAGAAGAAAAGAGAAAAAGATAAGGTAGCATTGCTTAAAAAGCAGACAAAGGAGATTTCAATTTTCGCTAGCACTAATCTGTTACACCTGACATAATAACAGACAAGAAGTACCTGCTGATTCTGGATCACAAATGCTTCTTCCAAGGATGGCCTCAGCAGCTCCATCATTTGAGTATCTTGGAAATTGTAGCAGATATGTTCTAATATATCTTTGTCAGCAATGAATCCTAATGCTCGAAACACAACAATGATGGGGATCTCAGTACGGATATAAGGGAGTGTGGCACGGATATACTGGCCCGATGAACCCTGCATTTACAAATGCATATGGTTAAAAAAAAACAAAGGATATGTCATATACGGATATGCCTCAGTAATGCAAAAGGCATAACATCAACATGTTATTACCCCTTTGGCGCTAGTCCGAGAAAGCATCCGGACAAACATTGTACTAGGTGGCCTGTTTTGGGTCTCCGCCATGGACCGAACTTCAGCCACATAAGCATACTTGTTGGGTTGTCTTTTTTTAAATACATAGACGTGATTGGTACTCATCTTCTCCTGAGCAATTAAAACCTTTTCACTTCCATTGATGATGAAATAACCACCCTGGTCATAAGGACACTCTCCAAGCTCTGTCAAATCTTTTTCAGAATTTTGATACAGCGTGCAGTAACTCGACCGCAACATTATGGGAACCTAGTCAACAGACAAAGGATGGCACTTTTAAGAAAACACAAATATACATTCATTACCGTTACCTTAAGTAAGGTTTGCATGATTTACCTTCCCGATGAAAACTTTTGTGAAATCCTGAGTCTCAGTAACTTCCTCACCATCGTGACCTTTCCTGATGACTCTTTTTGTCACATCCACATACAACGGGGCTGAATATGTCAAATTTCTTAGCCTTGCAGCCTTAGGAAACAATGTTGCAGTCTCTCCATCAGACTCTGTCATCATTGGTTTACTAAGATATATCTGACCAAAACTGATCTTATAAATTGTCTGCGCAAAAAACAAGAAACAAGATACAGTTAGATCCTTCATTGAAGCACCACCTGGAAGTTAATATCTAACATTTCTAGCATATAATTGAGACTGTCTGATTAAAATACTGGGAGGAACACACACACACACACTAATTTTTCAAATAAGATGCATGATACCTCATTCTAAGTAGAATTGCCAAGTTACTTTTATTATAAAGAATCCTTCATTCAGTTATTAAAAAAAAAAAAAGAGATTGCTAAGTAACCCTGCCGGTCTCCAAAACCCATCCTATCCCTAGTCAACATACATAGCCTCTCACTGAAACCCTTCCATATATCCATTTTTCAGCAACACCCCATGCCTTCTGCAGAGCCAGCATTAACTATCAAGACTATATAGGCCCTTGATAATATGTCTAGAATCAACCATGAGTACTTTTATGCGTATAGAAAACCTATTTAAACGTTTAAATCTAAGACACAGTAGAGGCTTTCCCACATAAAACGCTTAAATAGGAGGCTTCACAATTTCTTGTTCTCCTCTCTTTTTACCAGTTTCAAGGTTATAGGTACATATCAATATCAATCACCACTAACCAAAAACAATCAGGTAATCTATTAAAAAGGTGTGAATCACCACCAACAGCACAACACATCCAAAGCTCCTTCCAAGAGAATGCTCCATTGAATCACTAATTTTCTACCAAATTCCATCATCCAAATATCAAGGTTAATGAGTTAACCAATCTCATCAACCATTGCCAGTAAAAAAGCCCTCCTAAATTCAAAACCCCCAAAACCCTATTTTCCCATCAATTCCTCGATACCAACAGGAAAAACGACCGTCAACTACAAAAACAACCTCAGCGAAGTCCGGCTGGTGTCCCGGATTGTGCTGCGACTCGGGCCGGATCTCAATGTCGGCCGACTCATCCACAATCTCCTGCATCGTGTTCTGTATGAACTCGTCGAACGAATCTAGCTGCTGGCGGACCAAACCCTTCTCCTCGAAGTACGCGCTGATGACGGCCCACGCGTCCTCCTGCGTGATCTCCTCCTCATCCTCATCATCGTACTCCTGCTCGTTGTATTCCGGCTCGTTATACTCCTGCCCGTAGTATTCTTCCTCCAAATCCATCGTTTTTTTTTTTTTATTTATTTTTTTTGCAGGGTTTTTCAAATTGGTTACAACCTTTTTCCTACTAGATTCTTCGAATTTGTATACTTCAGTCCAAATTGTAGTAAGCAAAAAAGGAGTCAAAAACCCCTCTTTTCCTGCCAGAGAAGATCTGAGATGGTGAAAGAGGAAGAAAATCGGATGAAAAGCGGCCTTTTATAGTTGCAGGACACTGTATTTCGACCCTAATTCTAGTATTTTAAATATTTTTCGAATTGTTTTTTGTTTTTCATTTCATATATTTATTATTATATAAAAAGAATAATCCTTTTTATAATTTCAGAAATATTTTCCGGTCAAATTTATTAAATATATTCTATATATAATAATTGTTGGACAATATTAATTAAGGTAATAAAATGGATTAATTGTGTTAGAATCTATTTTCCTTTTCTTGTTATATTAATTGTGTTAGAATCTGTTTTCAAGCGTTATAAAATCTCATAGCGAGTTTATCTCTTATCTATTATAAAATCTCATTCTATATGCTTAAGTTTATCTCTTATCTGTTATAAACTCTTATCTGTTACAAAATCCCACGAGTTTAAAAATTCTCACCTCTTATCTATAAGGATTTAAAAAAATAAAATAAAATAAAAACCAATTCATAATTACTACTAGAAATCCATTATCTACCTTGAAAAACTAGTTTTCATCGGTCTAATTACTAATATTTTTACAAATATTATAAGCTAACAATACATCCTAAAAAAATAAAATAAAATAAAAACCAATTCATAATTACTACTAGAAATTCATTATCTACCTTAAAAAACTAATTTTCATCGGTCTAATTATTAATATTTTTACAAATATTATAAGCTAACAATACATCCTCAATAACAACGTAAAAAGTATAATAATAATGGTGTGTAATCAAATTTTTTAGATGGAAGTAAGGCCGTAACATAATGTCTTTTTTAAATTATGCTTATAATATTTTATATATTTTAAACAAATTGTTTAAACATTTTTTTTACATATTCGTCTATATATATATACATATACACATATACATAATTGATATTAAATTTAAATATTTGTAAACATGTTTTTTTTACAAAATAGTCTAGAAAAATTTTTTTTACACAATGTTAAATTCAAATATTTTTTAGATATGTTTTCCTTTTAAAATTGTTTAGAAAAGTTGTAGGTGACTTCACATCTTTAAAAAATAGTATAGAAAATTTTGAATACTTTTATATATACTAATATAATATTTTAGGTGTTTTTAATATTAAACATACAAATTTTATATTCTCTTATACAAAATAATGTAAATTTCATATTCTCTTATACAAAATAGTTTTATATTGTTTGACCCCGAATCTTTAATTTATAATTATTAAGTATTGTTTATCCTCCTCTTTAATTTATAATTATTTTTTTTCTTTCTCTTTTTAAATAGGATCAATAGTAGTTTCCACTTCCGCCATTGAGTGACTAAAACTCGAGGTCTATTTATAATATTGTTAATTCAATATTGTAGCCGTGCATCGCACGGGATACACACTAGTACTTCACTAGTGTATAAGATAATTTTTTTTTAAAAAAAAAAAAATGAAAAACCAGAACTTTTACTTCATTAGTAATTAGTAATTAAAGCACAATTTTTCAATTTTGACAATTTAACTCACGTGTTTTTTATCTTTTGTAAATTAAAGCAAAATCATGAAATGAAAAACTATCATTTTTCATCTTTTGCAAGTCAAAATTCAATCAAATTCAGTCATGTTGCTACGAGTTATTCGACATGTTTACTACATTTTCTTTTTGTGTGTGTGTGGCAAAAAAGATTTGAGAAATTGACATCAACAAAAAATAATATAATTTAAAAATGCATGAAAAAATAAACTGAAAATTAATTGAACATAAACTATAATGTAAGTATATTTATAATTAAAATAAAGTTTCTTAAATATGAAAATAAAGTAAAACTTGAAAATAAATAGGATGATTTTCTCTTGCAAATTTATATTTGCCTGGATGTCAGGGTAGCATAGGCCCAGCATTCCGGCCATTTACTGTCCGATGCATTGGAAAACTGGGCCTCGCTTAAAGCAGGCCAGTCTCCACTAAAGAAACCCAAAAACGGCCCTAAATTAAGACACGTTGACCTAACAATGATTTAGATGTAAAATTGCGCGTAATTCGTGCTGGTTTGAGCCGTACGAACATGAATGAGCTGTGGTAGTTCAACTGACTTCGAGACTTCAATCCGTAGGCTCTACGTGGCTGCAAATAAACATAATGAAAAGGCAATATGAACTGAGCTTATTGAAATTTATCATGGTAAATCTAATTATGAAAATTACGTGTTACTAAACTGATACTGATAGTTAATAAATTAATTTTGAGATGATATAATTTATGATTAATAGTTGAAAACCTAGTTAGCTGATATACGAGACAATTTAGCTGGAATGTGCATGGGTGACTTTTTAAGCATTTTCAATAAAAATGCATACTTGTTATAAAATGTCAAAGTTTTTTTATTTTCAGAATACGTCATTTTAATTTTAAAGTTTATAAATGCATTTAAAAAGGTATAATTGTCTAACAGTTAGTCATGTCTACAAGCACTGAAGGTTGACTTATTTGAAACTCTACGTTATAAGAAATCTCATCTCAATACATCAATAATATTGTAATTTAGTTAAATAAATTATAAACTAGCTTGTTGTGTTTATTAAAGACGGTAAACTGCCCACTCTCTTTTTACCAGTTTCAAAGGTACATATCAATATCAATCACCACTAACCAAAAACAATCCGGTAATCCATTAAAAAGGTGTGAATCACCACCAACAGCACAACACATCCAAAGCTCCTTCCAAGAGAATGCTCCATTGAATCACTAATTTTCTACCAAATTCCATCATCCAAATATCAAGGTTAATGAGTTAACCAATCTCATCAACCATTGCCAGTAAAAAAGCCCTCCTAAATTCAAAACCCCCAAAACCCTATTTTCCCATCAATTCCTCGATACCAACAGGAAAAACGACCGTCAACTACAAAAACAACCTCAGCGAAGTCCGGCTGGTGTCCCGGATTGTGCTGCGACTCGGGCCGGATCTCAAGTCGGCCGACTCATCCACAATCTCCTGCATCATGTTCTGTATGAACTCGTCGAACGAATCTAGCTGCTGGCGGACCAAACCCTTCTCCTCGAAGTACGCGCTAACAACCTCAGCGAAGTCCGGCTGGTGTCCCGGATTGTGCTGCGATTCGGGCCGGATCTCAATGTCGGCCGACTCATCCACAATCTCCTGCATCGTGTTCTGTATGAACTCGTCGAACGAATCTAGCTGCTGGCGGACCAAACCCTTCTCCTCGAAGTACGCGCTGATGACGGCCCACGCGTCCTCCTGCGTGATCTCCTCCTCATCCTCATCATCGTACTCCTGCTCGTTGTATTCCGGCTCGTTATACTCCTGCCCGTAGTATTCTTCCTCCAAATCCATCGTTTTTTTTTTTTTATTTATTTTTTTTGCAGGGTTTTTCAAATTGGTTACAACCTTTTTCCTACTAGATTCTTCGAATTTGTATACTTCAGTCCAAATTGTAGTAAGCAAAAAAGAGTCAAAAACCCCTCTTTTCCTGCGAGAGAAGATCTGAGATGGTGAAAGAGGAAGAAAATCGGATGAAAAGCGGCCTTTTATAGTTGCAGGACACTGTATTTCGACCCTAATTCTAGTATTTTAAATATTTTTCGAATTGTTTTTTGATTTTCATTTCATATATCTATTATTATATAAAAAGAATAATCCTTTTTACAATTTCAGAAATGTTTTTCCGTCAAATTTATTAAATATATCCTATATATAATAATTGTTGAACAATATTAATTAAGGCAATAAAATCGACGGATTAATTGTGTTAGAATTTATTTTCCTTTTCCTGTTATATTAATTGTGTTAGAATCTGTTTTCAAGTGTTACAAAATCTCATAGCCAGTTTATCTCTTATCTATTACAAAATCCCATTGCATATGCTTAAGTTTATCTCTTATATGTTACAATCATAGCGAGTTTATCTCTTATCTATTACAAAATCCCATTGCATATGCTTAAGTTTATCTCTTATATGTTACAAAATCCATAATCTCATAGCATAAATCTAAAGTTTATCTCTTATCTGTTATAAACTCTTATCTGTTACAAAATCTCATTGCATATGTCTCACGACTTTAAAAAATCTCACCTCTTATCTATAACTATTTAAAAAAATAAAAGAAAATAAAAACCAATTCATAATTACTACTAGAAATCCATTATCTACCTTAAAAAACTAATTTTCATCGGTCTAATTACTAATATTTTTACAAATATTATAAGCTAACAATACATCCTAAAAAAATAAAATAAAATAAAAACCAATTCATAATTACTACTAGAAATCCATTATCTACCTTAAAAAATTAATTTTCATCGGTCTAATTACTAATATTTTTACAAAAGCTAACAATACATAACAACGTAAAAAGTATAACAATAATGGTGTGTAATCAAATTTTTTAGATGGAAGTAAGGCCGTATCATCTGACATAATGTCTTTTTTAAATTATGCTTATAATATTTTAGATATTTTAAACAAATTGTTTAAACATTTTTTTTACATATTCGTCTATATATATATATATACATATACACATATACATAATTGTTGTTAAATTTAAATATTTGTAAACATGTTTTTTTTTACAAAATAGTCTAGAAAAATCTTTTTTACACAATGTTAAATTCAAATGTTTTTAGATATGTTTCCTTTTAAAATTGTTTAGAAAAGTTGTAGGTGACTTCGCATCTTTCAAAAATAGTATAGAAAATTTTGAATACTTTTACATATACTAAAATATTTTAGGTGTTTTTAATATTAAACATACAAATTTTATATTCTCTTATACAAAATAATGTAAATTTCATATTCTCTTATACAAAATAGTCTTACATTGTTTGACCCCGAATATTTAATTTATAATTATTAAGTATTGTTTATCCTCCTCTTTAATTTATAATTTTTTTTTCTTTCTCTTTTTAAATAGGATCAATAGTAGTTTCCACTTCCGCCATTGAGTGACTAAAACTCGATGTCTATTTATAATATTGTTAATTTAATATTGTTCCCGTGCATCGCACGGGATACACACTAGTACTTCACTAGTGTATAAGATAATTTTTTTTTAAAAAAAAAAAATGAAAAACCAGAACTTTTACTTCATTAGTAATTAGTAATTAAAGCACAATTTTCAATTTTGACAATTTAACTCACGTGTTTTTTATCTTTTGTAAATTAAAGCAAAATCATGAAATGAAAAACTATCATTTTTCATCTTTTGCAAGTCAAAATTCAATCAAATTCAGTCATGTTGCTACGAGTTATTCGACATGTTTACTACATTTTCTTTTTGTGTGTGTGTGGCAAAAAAGATTTGAGAAATTGACATCAACAAAAAATAATATAATTTAAAAATGCATGAAAAAATAAACTGAAAATTAATTGAACATAAACTATAATGTAAGTATATTTATAATTAAAATAAAGTTTCTTAAATATGAAAATAAAGTAAAACTTGAAAATAAATAGGATGATTTTCTCTTGCAAATTTATATTTGCCTGGATGTCAGGGTAGCATAGGCCCAGCATTCCGGCCATTTACTGTCCGATGCATTGGAAAACTGGGCCTCGCTTAAAGCAGGCCAGTCTCCACTAAAGAAACCCAAAAACGGCCCTAAATTAAGACACGTTGACCTAACAATGATTTAGATGTAAAATTGCGCGTAATTCGTGCTGGTTTGAGCCGTACGAACATGAATGAGCTGTGGTAGTTCAACTGACTTCGAGACTTCAATCCATAGGCTCTACGTGGCTGCAAATAAACATAATGAAAAGGCAATATGAACTGAGCTTATTGAAATTTATCATGGTAAATCTAATTATGAAAATTACGTGTTAGTAAACTGATAGTTAATAAATTAATTTTGAGATGATATAATTTATGATTAATAGTTGAAAACCTAGTTAGCTGATATACGAGACAATTTAGCTGGAATGTGCATGGGTGACTTTTTAAGCATTTTCAATAAAAATGCATACTTGTTATAAAATGTCAAAGTTTTTTTATTTTCAGAATACGTCATTTTAATTTTAAAGTTTATAAATTCATTTAAAAAGGTATAATTGTCTAACAGTTAGTCATGTCTACAAGCACTGAAGGTTGACTTATTTGAAACTCTACGTTATAAGAAATCTCATCTCAATACATCAATAATATTGTAATCTTGTTAAATAAATTATATACTAGCTTGTTGTGCTTATTAAAGACGGTAAACTGCCCACTCTCTTTTTTGTTAAGAAAAAGAAACTCAAATTTTACTCGCTAAGTCAACTGATTGCAATATTTATTGGCTTATAGTAGAAAAAAAAATAATAATAAAATGTCAAAAAGTTGATTGCTTTGAGGGTTAACATAAAGCTTACAAATGGCACATGTTACTTTCTGAGCCTTCATTAGGTAACCAACAGCATATACAACAAAGACAAAAAGGTCACACAGCCTCCAACTTTACCTGCCCTTTCCTAACATCTAACACAAACATATATATTTCTATCTTTACTCTTTAGGAGCATACATATTTTGTACCAACTATGAACTAACATACCTCAAATCCTATTAATTTTTTCGGACAGCAAAATCCTGTGAAAGTGTTTACTTAAGTCTCATAATAATGGGTTTGTCCAAATGGATCCCAATGTTCGTGCTAAGGCTCATTGCTTTAGGCGCCACGGTCTCGGCAGCATTGATCATGGTCACGAGTCGCGACACGGCCCAAGTTCTTAACGTGAAATTCGAAGCAAAGTATACGAATTCCCCGACTTTCAAGTAAGTCGTAAGTTAATTACATCATTTTCCAAGATAATGTGCATGTTTGGTACGTATATAAACTAACTTATAGCTTATTTGATTAACTTACAAGCTTCCTGTATTCAAATAAGTTTGACCATGTAGGACGAGTTTTTTTTAAAAAACTCGAGTTTACCTCACAGGCTTTCTTGGGTAGCTTACCAAACATTTTTATCATATAAATTAGTTTTTCTACCATAAGTCATAAGTTATGAACTATAAGCTCGGAATTCACTTAAAAGTTATAAGCTAACTAGTTTATCAGTTAAGTTTACCAAACATAGTCTATAACTTATTAATCATTGTTACTTATATGGTTGATTTTTTTCTTTCTTTTTGCATTTCAATTATATTGCAGGTACTTTGTGTTGATGAATGCAATAGCAAGTGTTTATACTTTCATAATGATGTTTTTGCCTTTGAAGAGTTCATATAGGCACTTGATTTTGGTCCTGGATTTGGTAAAGCGATGCACCTTTTTATTTATTTCCTTTTCTCTTTCTATGGTCTGTCTTGTCTTGTACACGAATCGAATGAGTTACCCAAAAAAACTACCAAATAAGAGTCATCTGATTACACAAATTCATAATTTTGAAAATATTAATCGAACCCTTCAATTTAATTATCCATCCACGATAGTTAAAATTGCTATAACGTTAAACTAGCAGGACTAAAAATGCAATTTAGCCTTTCTTCTGCGCTAATATGCATCCGCTTTTTACGACAAAGTGACATACTATTTCAAAATCGGACCAAGTAATATCATAATTCATATATACCTTTTCTAAAAGGCATTTTGTATTCTATAATAATATGCTTAAGCTTTTTCCCTTTTTTTCTTGTCTGAATGCTTGTAGATTATGACATTGCTTCTGGATTCAAGCATATCTTCATGTATAGCAATAGGGCAAGTGGGGAAAAAAGGCAACAGTTATGCAGGTTGGCTGCCAATTTGTGGACAAGTTCCTAAGTTTTGTGACCATGTCACAGGAGCTTTGATTGCTGGTTTTGTGGCTGCAATAATTTATTTCCTCATACTTCTATACTCACTTCACAATGTCATCAATCTTTTCACTCTCAAGAATTAATTTTTCTACTGCAAATACATTAATATTATATATCAGAATAGAAAACATATGAGAGCAATATGATATTTTACCTTTCTTTTTTTATCTCTCTCTTTTTCGATCGCCTTTCGTTTTCATTCGAGCAGCTCATTTTCGACCTGTTCGGTTTTTCTCCAGTTGAGTTTTAGTATTCGTTTTGCGTGACATTGATTGTATGAGGAAATATGGTGATTCCCAATTTCCCATGTATTGTACACAATCTTATTATTTCATATATTTATCCAAAATCCACAATATATTACAATCAGCAAATACACACAAAAACTACAAACATATTTATTTGATGTCCTTTTAAGCATCTGTATTTTTCAACTTATTCATGCACATCTCACATAAATCAAACAGCAAACCAATTTCTCCATACAGAGGCCTATTTTTTACGGTACCTGGCCCGAAAAACTGTTGCACTGAAATCCCTTATCAGATAAGGCCTCGACCAGTTTAGAATAGAGCTTGGCCAGCATGATCTTGAAACCAGTCGAGCTTCCTTTCTGAATTTCTTGTTCGGTTTTTTCGTAATCGAGCGTGTAATAACCTATAGAAGCTCCTTCCATGTATGCTTTGCATGCAAGTAAAATGCTTTTGCTACGCTGGCTAAAATGCTCGTGCACGAGTGCCTCAAAATGCTGTGGCCAATAACAAACGAAATGATATTAAATGGTGAAAAAAATAATTAAAAAAGAAAACTAATAATTATTAATGTAACATAAACTGAAATAAATCATTTAAATCACCCTTTTTCAAGATCATGCTGTTTATGAATGCAAATATCACATTTATTTTTCAAAATTTAACCTCTTATAGAATTATATATACTAAAGAAAACTTAAAATGAGAAAAATGTAAAGAGTTGTAGTTCTAGTTATCCTTATAGCTCCATACAACTATGCCAAATGTAATATAAACTAAAATAAATCGGTCGAAATTTACCTTAGGTGGGTTGCGTAGTAAGTATAGCATGGACCTGCAGCTTACAAGAAAGGCATTTTCATTGTAACTAACAGAGTTCTTTTCTCCCTCGACTTTACCAACTTGAGAATCATAACCGGCCTCGTTAAAGTAAGGCTTTTCATTAAGCACGAGAGCTTGAATAGAAAGGAGGATTTGAAGTATTGTAGATGAATTTGGGTTCCAAGCTTCACTTTGAGATCCTTTCCAAGTGTTCAGTAAGCTGAGGCAGATTTTTCCCGATTCGTACAAATTAGGATTAATACGAAGTCCACCTGAGTTGTAGTGCACAATCTGCAAAAGAAAAAATCTAGTATGAAGTCAAATTATTGTTAAATATAACTAATTCACCGCAAATATTTCTGATGGCGGCGTATTAGGCTGTGTTTTTTCAGAAGTATATGGAGTTTTGAAGCATTAGTTGAGTGTAAAATGAATTCAAACTATCATTCAACATAACTAATTCACATATTTGATTAAACTATGCACAGATTTACTGTCAAAAGCAAGGGAGGTGAATTTCAAAGTGTTCTATTTCTGCTAACAATTAACTATGAAAAAATTTTAGGACTAGAGCTTACAACAGAGTGAGATGTAAAAGAACTAATCTTAATAATTATAAAAAATAAGATGATGATAAAATTACTAACCGGGGGTTCATTGGGATATTGTGGAGGAAGATAAATATCGAAAAAGAACAACCCGTCGTGATACGGAGTCCCATCAGTGCCTACAATTGCAGCTCGAAGCAAATCCATTCTTTCTTCATAGACGCGCACGTAAATAGTTTCTGTTTTGAATTTTGATCATAAAATTTCATTTAACAAGTTCTCAAAACAATATAGCTTCAGATTTTATCCCAAATGTGTATCCAATTTCTCACCGGGAAGATCCTTCTCCAAAATGCTCCATTCTTGGTGAACCTTCCTCAGCCACTCTTTTTTCACCTGTACATTTAAGAAAAAAAATTCCTAAGTTACATAATAATAATACCAAACCAAAAAAAAAAAAAAAAATTCGAAAAAATCTTTTCTTCGGACCTGAGGAGACCCGTTTTCATTAACAAAGTGGTGATTTGAGGGATCATTAACCATATCAAACTTTTTAAATGGCTCGTGATGCCTGCTGCTAGACAAGAACATAAAATCCTCGTTAGCTTCTTTGATGTGTAATGAAATTGTCTTTTCATGCATGTCTAAATTGTCTTCTTCTTCTTCTTCTTCATCATCAGGGTTTGTTTTGTTACTGTTCTCACTTTGTGATGCATATTTATATCCACCAATCAGAGATAACATGCCAATCGACCCCAACAAGCTTGACGTGATACTGTTGAAAATCTCTATAGCAGCTCGAGAAATAGTGTTCGAGCCCGCGTTTTCCGGGTTATCATCCAAATCCTGCATAAATTTATAGTCTTTAGAGCCTTTTGGGGATTTGAAAAAATGAAGATCAATAAAAATTTTGACATTAATCAGCTTAATTAAATGCACCTTTAGGCCTTGGCCTGCAAACTGGGCCTTCAGAGAAAGTTCCTCATTTGGCGGTTCAACATTCTCATTATTGAGCTCGGTTTCGCCTTTTTCGACTCTAAAGATCTCATATGGAAAAACCTGTAACAAATGTTCGTACTCAGCACAACAAAATTCGAACCACGGGGATGCACTTTCATATAAATTAAATAGAAAATCGAGTCTCGTAAAGACATTAAAGCTGAAAATTTAAATAAAAATCGACACAAGAACAGAACAGATGAAAAAGAGTACCTTACTTATAGCCCCAGTGCCCCATTTCACTTCAACACACCCATTTTCAAACCCGACCACAGTCCCGAAACAAGTCAAGAATTTGTTACCGATAATACCCTCAGTCAGACTTTCACTATTTTCCATGTTTTTCTTATCAATAATCCTAAAAACAACTTCCCCAAGCCCGAACGTGTAGTCCGAGTGCTCGACCAGCTCATAAGCACTCACAATCATCTCCTCTTCTTCTTGCTCAGAATCGAGAGAGGATGATTCAAGTTCGACCCATTTGACCTTCACCATTCGTTCTTTCGAGTCCACACTCTTTACAACACCCCACTTCTCAAAACCTGAAGCCCGATAAACATCGTCAGTCATCCCCTCTTCCCGCACAAATGAATCGGGCCAAAAATCATGTGCATCCAAAACATTCACTGGAAAAACCAAATCCAAATCCAACAAGCAAGATTCGCTCCCGTCCTGCCACCGGACATCAATCCTAGTCCTTGTCTTAACCACAACAGCCACTTGCGAAAAACTAGGTTCTTCTTCTTCTCCGTGGGGCCCACGGCCTTTCTTCAGCCGATCATCGTGAACACACCAATCCCCGAGCTGCCAGTTCGCATGCGGGAGAAAACACGGCACCACAGATAAATCCCTCGAGTCCATCGGGCCCTGTGGCGGGCCCGGGCCCACTTTCGGGCCCATGCAGCTGACGAGCCAGTCGACATGCACGAGCCCAGCGTCCACGCTGCAAACCGTGCCATGCTTGTTTTTCTCGTCTTTTCTGATACCACCACACCACCGAGTCGACATCCCGGGCGACTCGACCCGAACTCGTTGGCCGGGGTAAAATGGTAAATTCGGGTCCTCAAGTAGATCATCATCCGGTGAATATGTAGCCGTAATAATTTTCTCGGGCCCTTTTGCGGATAATTCACACGTTTGACCATCGTCGTCGAAGATGACGGTCAAACGGTCAATGACTTTTTCGACTCTCCCGAGCCACGGCCCATGCACGACGTGATCTCCGACTGAGACGGAACGTATTTTCCGAATCGATTTGGAGTTCACGTTTTCCGTCTTGATTGATCCATACAAGTTTTCCAAGTCGACTTTCATTTCGACGTTGACTATTTTGCCCATTTGGCCTAACGGGTCGGAGACTAGACGAACTATGTCCCCGTGAGAGAAGCTTCTCTCGAAAATGAGGAAATCGTCGATTTTCTCGATGGTTTGCTCGAGGCTCGAGAAAATGGTGTGGGCCCGGCCGCTGTACAGAGACTCGATGTCCTCTTGATCATCCGAGCTGCTGCTCTCGCTGTAACTGTCGAAATCACTGAGTAACGAGTCCATAAAAGGCTGAATCTTTGGAGTAAATCGAAGAATCTGTAAGTTCAACTAATTGTCAACAGAATTATCAAGAAAGTACACAGAACTACAAAAGTAGCATAAAATGTGTTCTGGGTTTTAGTAGTATATATATAAGAGAGACTTACTCTTCTGAATACGACTGACTTGTAAATGAATCGAGCTCCAGTTATATAGCCTCGGCCAGACGAAGTATGATATTTTATTTATATATATAATGATATGAGTATCTCCAGAGATGGAGAAACTATGCCAAAGGAGATTTGCCCAAATAAAGAGGGATAAATGGAGTCGAGAGACCCCAAATTTTGCCAAAGGAGATTTGCCCAATAAAGGGATGACTAAAATGCCAAAGGAGATTTGCCCAAGAACAGAAGTGAAGGATTGTGAAGTAACCGAGTTCAAGCAAAAACCAACTAAAGGATGTAAAAAAAGTGTTCTAGCTAGAAGAGATTTACCCACAGTATTTCAGTAACATATCTATAACAATATAGCTAAATGGCTTGAAGAAAGGTTTTTTAATTCTTCATAAGTGAATTGCCAAAGGAGAGTTGCCCATAAATGCAGCTAAAGTATGATTAGCTTCAATCAGTGTCGAAAAAGGGAGATAAATTGTTGCTTGAAGTTCTTGAGTGCCACCGAGAGCCGCTTTTGCTTTGAATAAGTATATAGATCGAGTCACAGATGATTGCAACTGTGGATTTACATTCAGACTGAGAGTTATGACCTGCAAGCATTTTGAATAAATCATTAAGGCCGTGAAATATACGCGATGAACCAGAAAGTTCAGTTTTTTCTTTAAAAATGATTAAAGATTAGATTTTTCTCACGGTAATGTTGCCACTCATCTGTGTTTTGACTTCAGACCAGACAAGTAAACAAAAGAACTATACAAGACACTATAGGTTTTGCAGTTTTTAGCTTAATGCAAATATATTAATACTTGTAATTGGATCATGGAATTTGGAATTAATGTACTCTCCCTTGTTTCAATTTTCCCATTGAACCTTCCTATATAATTTTAATACAACTTAAATAATCCCCAAATCCTTTTTTTTNCTTTCTTTTTTCAGAGCAGCAGAAACTGAAAAAAACAGAATAAGAAAATGAATTGAAGAAATTCATATGCTAGAGCCTAGATACTGTAAGCCCATGCCTCAAATGCAGAGTCCAAAATAAAATATATACACTCGAGAATCATTCAAACCCAAAAAAATTTAATCATGCAGATAATAAGAAACACCACAAGAATGTATTTACATCCATATCTTGATAAACTAAGGACACTGTAAATGGCACTAAAAGACAACAAATAATAACAGAACTGAAAAGTCAAGATAGACCAAAAACAGATGACATTACATATAAACATATAAATAAAGAAACATACATACCAGATTTGAGCTGCTAGTGAAAGATTACACCTCCACCAACAAAAAAGATCACATCTTTAAAATCTTCTGATAGAAAACCAAGCCCACAAAAAGAAACTCCAAGCAAACAACATCTCCCCCTTTCTCGGCCGTCGGTTGCCCTTTTTGCACGAACTTTTCCGGCAAATTTTTTACCTGCCCGTCTCAAAATAAACACACAGAACGCAAAAGGAAAAAGTAAAACAGGGATAAAGCTGTGAACTTTTTTCTATGTTTGCCGAGAAAACAAGAACAGATTTTGAAGTACGGAAACTCAGAGAGGCCAACAAGACGCTCTCCAAAACCCCTCCATCAGACCATTTTTGCTGCACAAGAACATGGCCAAAAGTGAGAATGTTTGTGAGGATGTGTCGTTGGTTAAGATTAATGGGAATGTGATATGATATCATTAATCATATTAGTGAGTTTCTATCTAGTTTACCATGGAAAAGAATATTCCATGGTATCTTTTTCCTCGTGTTATCATTATTCTGTCCGTATTAGTTTAATTTTATCTTGTAGTTTTAGTTGTGATTTGGCGGTTTGAATTCCATTTTGTTTTCGGTTACAGACCGGGTCGGGCGACCCTCTAGAACGGATTCTTGGCCAACTGGCCCAACCCACTGGGTTAAGTGTGTATAAATTCTTGAAATCGAATTAGAGCTGCAAACGAGTCGAGGTGAGTCGAGCATAGACCTTATCGAGTGTAGATTATTTTTTTTTTCATTGCTCGAGCTCGATTCTTGAAACAAATGAAAATGCTCGAGATCGACTCAATGTTCGAGCTCAATTCGATGCTCGAGATCGACTCGAGTTTGGCTCAAATTTTAACAACTATAAATTATGCACGTATGACAATTTTGTGAATTACATATATATATATATATAGGATGTGGTTCAAGTGAGAACCAAGTCTTAGTGTGAGAACCGTGAGAACCGCTATTTATAGTTGCAAGTAGTGCTATAATTTATTGTGTTTTAATGCTATTTTTAACATGAATTTATTTTCTTAAAAATAGCAACACAATTTATATTAGTATTTGTGAAAATGATAGCACCATGTGATATTAAAAATAACATCATAAACAATAAAGAATAGCATCAAATACGGTTTTCACGGTTCTCACACCAGGACTAGTTTTTATTTGAACCACTCCATATATATATATGAAGGTATTTAAGTATTTTACCGCATAATCGAGCGGCTCGACCTTATAAGAATTTGGGCTCGAGATCGTCTCGATAACATAATCGAGCCGCTCGAGCTCGACTCAAGTTCGATCAAACTCGAGCTCGTCTCGCGAGCCGCTCGACTCGTTTGCAGCCTTAAACCGAATCTAACTCATAAGGTTTTTGACATTTCATTTCAAGACCCTGTAGGTTTTTTGACATTTCATTTCATTTCATTTCGTACTTACTTAGAATACGTGGCAGGGCTAGTGTGGACCTTATCCATGCAATTCGAGTCAAGGTCACGGACTCACGCCGCGTTAGCTTAGCCCACTGGATCTCAAATGATCACTGTTGGGTCAATGCAAATAGTAGACGGCCCATTGTGGGCCTGCAGACTTTAAAGTGCATATGTACCCAATAATTATCTGATAGATGTATATTCTTATACGACGTGATCTACCAGTTAATTAAGTCGACCCATTACATAATTTCATTTGTAATTTTTTAAAATATAATATTTCAATTTAAAATATTCATATTAATTAAAAAAATATCATTGTTTAACTGCTAATCCTAACAATAGTTTTACTGCACAAATAATTATACTGTGTAATAATGTTTAATATATGTATGTAAAACAAAATTATGCTTTATCTTATGACTATTTAATTGATTAATTATTCAACAATCTTCACTAATAAATAAATAATCAAAACAAGGAAGAAAGATGTAAATCATTATCAACTCCACAATTTCAAACCTCACCTCAGTCCTCTAAAGTACATTTTATAATTTTTTTAGAATGTGTTCTACCAATGGAGCTCAAAAGCTAGATGAAAGATGAAAATTAAAAGACTACTAACATTTTTATTTTTATTTTTTAAACTGATTAGTGATAGATGAAGTTATACACATATACTTATGTCTTATTGAACCAAATAAAGTAATATTTTTGTCATATTATGTTTGGATCAGCCACATAACCACAAACGCGCGAAAGAAATATATTAACATTAATTTCATTTACGTAATTAATAAGATAGATCTCCAAGAGTGTAATTAGACGTGTAAGCTCTATCATATTCACGAGTGCAAGTTCAATTATTATTAAGCCAATGAAAACGACTTTATCCTAATCACCTACTTTTTCCACTTTTTAAGACTCCCACATGCTTTTGAATATTATTTATATTCGCCCTTTTTATTTATTAATTTATGTATATATTTTTTTGTTGCATTGTCAAATTTGTGCGTTATAAATGAGTCGAGCCGAACTCGATGTTAACAAGTCAAACGTAGCTCTAACTCGTTAAATTAACAAGCCGACATATGCGTTCGAGCATTAACGAGTTGAATTATATATGTTAAAGTGTTTAAAAATTACGTAAAAAACTATTTATCAAGTCTAACGATGCGACTCGTTTCATTTAAGATTTAGTCTTGTTGATTACTAAAGGGATCCATATACTTGGCAAACTTTTTATTCTATTTTTCTTTAAAAAAAAGTGTTGTGTTGAGTCAATTTTACATTTCTTGTTTTGTGCCATCCTTAGTGATATTGAAGGGACCATTATGTACATGGACTTAAAGTAGGCTTGGTATGGATCGGACCAGGTGGCCCACACCCACAGGCCCGATCCGAGTCTCAAATCATGTCATAAAACACGTAAATGAATTTGGTTGAAAGCTCACCTTCGAAACCAGCATTGAATAAAAGCCGGCCCACCACTGCATTTGGATCCCCACAACGTTTCAAAATCTATCGCCAATTTGTATCACAGAAAAAGTTTATTATCATTAATGAAGGAATAATATAATTCAGCAGTTTAATATATTTTCAAAAGTCAAATATAATTGTATTTTCCTCTGCATTGCATGCAAAGTGCTGAAAGTAATGCCGATAATGAGGAATAAATCTTCTGTTATATAATTATATTCAAATTCATATTTATGTTGGAAAGATGATCACTAATTTTATTTGAGCCATGGAGAATTATACTATTTATGTTGGCCTATGCACACAAATTTCTCAAAGTGGGGGAACTATTTTTTTGACAAAGAACTCCATTTACCATATCTAAAATTCTATAAACACATGTTGGAGCACTCAAAAAAAGGGTCATGAAAAAAGTGATTGTAGGCACTAGTTAGGAAATACAGGTGGCAAATAAAGTGAGGTTAATCAAAATCCAAAAGCACTTATATAATATATATATTCTATAACAAATTAATATTCTTATCTTTTTATTTTTTAATTGCTTAGTAAAAAATATTATTATATACTATTACTATGCAGAGGAATAAAAGTCAATCCATTTATCATTGAAAGGTATGTTATTTTTTAAGCAAAAAGTGATTAATTCTTAATTTCGTCTCGCGTCCATATTCATCAGACGGTTTAAGGGAACAATTAAAGATAGATATTCTCAGAATATTATGATCTAAATTACTAAATGCGTTGACTTTAATGGAGTGATAGGACTTGGATGAGTGAAAACCATTAAAAGAAGAATCTTTCAAAGGTTTGAGCATTTTAGAGTTGACGTCGATAAGATGTATTATGGATAATTAATAATGCTAAAACGTACCACTAACAAAACATGCCGCTAAACTGTTAGGCGAATCGGCCCTTCGTACGCTTCACATCACAAATAAATATTTATATTATAAAATGTTGTATTTTTTTGTATATTAATTTATAAACATTTGTACAAAAAAAAAATATGTATGTTTTGCACTCGCTACAATAGTAAGATGAAACTCCAACGACAATGTATTATAATAAAATTCTAATTGCAATAATTCAATGGACAATCCAATGAAATTATTCTGTTGAATTTTTTAAATAAATTTCAACGAATATATTGCATTAAAAGTAATTTTTCGTTTGAATTTTTGTTGGATATTGACAATCTCAATGACTTTTTTTCAATAATTGAAATAGTGTCTAAAAAGAATTTCAACGAGAACTTCATATTCGATCAAAAATTTCAACTACAATAAACCATTAGAAAAAAAATGATCGTTGAATCATTAGATTATTCCAATTAAAATTCAAATGGAATTTCTATTCCATGAATATCTTAGTGTTGATCTACATACAATTTTTTTTTTTTTTTTTCCAATAGAGGCTAATTCATTGGAATAACCGTTTAATTTTTTATTATAATTATTGGTCATTGATTTTTTTGTTTTTTTTTTTTCTTTTTGGCGACAACGTTTTATCAGTAAATAGACACATGTTATTTCTAAAACAATTAATTAGATTTATATTTTTTGTAATAAAACTTTTTATTTTTATTTTAAAAGTATGATAAGACAGATTCGTCTAACAATTAGACTCCCACGACAAGTTGAGAAGGAAAAAGAAGTTGAATCGAAAAAAAGGACATAACCATTGTTCTTATCCATATTTGCATGGATCAACTTGAACGCGATAAGATACTTACATGAAGCTACAAACATGAAACACCATTGTCCCACATAATGCATATAATTGCACTTTCGGTCACTCATAATTGTAGGTCCTGCATTTTTAGCCCCATTATATTAAAAAGAGCTTTATCAGAAAAACATCATGTAACAGTCAATATTGCATTGATGCAGAAGAGCAAAAATAGAAAAAAATAGATATATATGATATATCAAATATACATGTACATAGAAAAATTAAATGGATAAATGTATACCTTTTTTTCTCTTTTTTCTTCACAGTTGAGCTATATATGTTATGCTAACAAGGCTATAATATGGACCCAAGCTCCATTAGACTCGTCTTAAACCCATTTTCTGTTCAAGGAAAACTTAGGCTAGCCCACCAGAGTACCATGTAAGTCCACATGGACCAGGCCCATGACTAGGCCCAGGCCGAGGCCCATACAGTTGCCCATTCATTTGTCTACACCTCTTTAAAAAAAATCAAATTTTCTTTCATTTTAACACTTTTTTTTTAACCCTTAGGCATTTTCTTGGAGGAAATCAAGCTTGGTGCCGCCAACTCTTTAGCTGGGAATTTTCCTTTATTTTGACCTTTGATCCTTAAAAAAAGTGAAGAAGAGTCTTCAGATACTAAAATGGCCATTTTTCTCCTTTGAACTTCTTGAAAAAAAATGAAAATAATGACTATTAAGAATAATATTACATGTCATGCAATCATTTTATTATAACAAAAAATAAAAGTAAAGAAAGTTATTACATTCCATGATTGAATTTAGTTTATACTGAATGGTCTAAACTTCATTTCTCATCATTTGCATGCTGCAATTTCATTAAACAATGGAGGTAAATTAAATTATGTCATTTTAATTAGTATGTTCAAGAATCCAACTCAAAAGGAAATTAAGCAGCCACAGAAATTTTATTTATTTATTTATTTGGCTCAAAAGATTTATTTCACTAAAACTGAAAATAAAATAGTTTTTTTTTAACAAAAATTATTTTCTATATAATTTCGATAACACAATCAAAAAATAAAAATAATAAATATCATATGTTGTTTAATAATAAAAAATACTATTTATGCAGGCATATATTTATAACTATCAATATTTATTGATTAATTATTTTATATTTTAATACTATATCTGTTTTAATAATCTGAATAAAACACGATTTTATTTTTTTTTAAGGACACGCTTTCTGCTTCTCTCTATTCACCTGAAAAGCTACGGAACTCGAGAAAACTCCATCACTGTCGCATGTCTCTCCATCTTCACAGCCACAAAAATGGAGAGCAAACGCCAGACCCTTCTTCTGCCGCTTATCCTAGCCGGAATCCTCTCCGTCCAGCTCACCTCCGCCGTCGATTTCCTCTTCAACGGCTTCAATGCGGCCGGCAGCGTCTCACTCTACGGCACCGCCGCCGTGGAATCCAACACCCTCTCGCTCACTCAGCGATCCTCTTTCTCCATCGGCCGCGCTCTGTACCCTTCGAGGATCCCCGCGAGATGGCCCAACTCCTCCGTCGTCATCCCCTTCTCGACTTCGTTTATCTTCGCCATGGCGCCGTACGAGGGCTTGCTCCCCGGGCACGGCCTGGTTTTCCTGTTCGTGCCGCACGCGGGGATCGAGGGCTCGAGCTCGGCGCAGAATCTAGGGTTTCTGAACTTCACCAACAATGGGGATTCGGATAATCACGTGCTGGGAGTCGAATTCGACTGCTTCATGAACCAGGAGTTTAATGATATTAGCGATAATCATGTCGGGGTTGATGTTAATTCGCTCGTCTCTGTGCGCGCTCACGATGCGGGCTATTACGTGGGTGAAGACGATGATTCGTTTGAGGATTTGGATCTGAATAGTGGGAGAAACTATCAGGTGTGGATTGATTATGTAAACAGTACTCTTAATGTGGCTATGGCGCCCGTGGGGCTAAGAAGGCCTGATCGGCCGTTGCTGAGTGTCGCTCTCAACCTCTCGGAGGTTTTCGAGGATGAAATGTATGTTGGGTTTACTGCATCCACCGGAGATTTGATTCAGAGCCACAGGATTTTAGGTTGGAGTTTTAGCAACACGAATTTTTCGCTGAGCGAGGGTTTGATTACAGAGGGTTTACCGTCATTTGTTCTTCCGGGAACTCCGATTTACAGAACCAGAGGTTTCATTGCAGGTTTAAGCACCGCTGCTGTGTTGTTCGCCATTGTTTGCTCTACTGTAGCTTACATGTTTGTTATAAGACCCAGGAGAAAAAAGAGAAAAAATAGGGATGAAGAATTTGAAGATTGGGAATTAGAATATTGGCCTCACAGAATTAACTACGAAGAAATTGATTCTGCAACCAAAGGCTTTGCAGAGGAAAATGCTGTCGGAACAGGCGGCAATGGTAAAGTCTATAGAGGCATTTTGCCAGGAGGAGCCGAGATTGCCGTGAAACACATTTCACACGAAAATGACAAAGGCACACGAGCTTTCTTGGCCGAAATATCGAGCCTCGGGCGTGTAAAGCACCGAAACTTGGTCAGTTTAAGAGGGTGGTGCAAGAAAGACAAAAACAGCCTATTCGTAGTATACGATTACATGGAAAACGGAAGTCTCGACAAAAGGGTGTTCGAATCTGACGAGGAGAAAACACTGAGTTACGAGGATCGAATACGAATCCTAAAGCAAGTGGCTTCCGGATTACTATACCTGCACGAGGGTTGGGAAGCCACTGTTCTCCACCGAGACATCAAAGCCAGCAATGTCTTGCTCGATCAGGAAATGAACGCGAGGCTCGGAGATTTCGGGCTTGCCCGTATGCACGACCACGATAAGACTGCGGGGACCACGCGAGTGGTGGGGACGGCCGGTTATCTTGCACCGGAGTTCATCAAGAATGGCCGGGCCTCGACAAAAACAGATGTTTTCAGTTACGGGGTTTTGATTCTAGAAGTTGTCTTTGGCCGGAGGCCGGTGGAGGAAGGCCAGCCACCGCTAGTGGATTGGGTGTGGGGGCTTTTGAAGAAGGGTGAGTTGCTAACCGCAGTTAAGGGCAAACCATGGTTAAGGAATGGAGAGGAAATCGAGAAGGTGATTCATTTGGGTTTGTTGTGTGCTCATCCGGATGCGAATACCAGGCCTTCTATGAGGCAGGTTGTGAAATTTTTCGAGGGGAAGAGTGAACATGAGGAGGGAGGGATGGATGTTTATCTCTTGGAGAGGTTGAGGGGATTTGGTGATGGTTTTGGTTCGGGTTCTTATCCGACGTTCTCGGATATTAGACGAGGAGCGAAATCTTCTATATCGATTTCTTGGAGCGATAGTACCATTGTGGACGGGCGGTGAGTCGACTCGACGACGAGGCAGGTGATTCTTGATTGATTTTGGTTTTGTTTCTAGTTGTAGTTTTTGTGTGTAATATATGTGATGTGATGAGGTGAATGTGGAGATATTTTATTCTGGAAGAAGTAGTTTCTTTGTAAGATGCTGGTAGTGTAATGCATATTTGTAGTGTAATAGTGTGTGTATTTTTTTGTTTTAGAGAACTTATCAGTATCAATGTATCATGCTGCATGCATTTAAAGCGCCAGGCTGCAAACGAGTTAGAGTCAAGTATGGACCTTGTCCAGTGCATAGTGCACTTTCTTATTCACTGCTCGAACTCGAGCTTGACGAGCCATGTAAAATGTTGTTCGACTCGACTCGCGAAAAAAAAAATAATAATAATGCTCAATCTCGACTCGATGCTGGACATGGCTCGAGTACGGATTGAAATTTTAAAAGGTAAATGTAAATATAAAGGTCATATTTTTTAATCTAATAGATAATTTTTGGTGTTCTAATATTGATAATTAACTTATATGAGGTATTTATGTAAATAAAAAGTTGAGCGGCTCGTCAAGCTTACGAGTTGTTTGAAATGATGCTTGAAGCTTGACTCGTTTGCTCGATTAAACTGCTCGAGCTCGAGTTTGGTCGAGCTCGAGTTGTGCAGCCACCGGAGCCCTACACTACCTACACCCACCAGTGGTCTATTGGTAGAAAATACAGCTTGCTCCAATAAATTGAGCCCATAGATATTTGGCAGCCCAAAAGCCTACTTTTATAAATCATAAATGTCATGTCCCTATAAATGGTAGTATTAAAATATTTAATTGTGAGTTGTCTCACATCGTTTATATAGAGAAAATATACTTAATTTATAAGTTTGATGAGGTGCTCCTCATTTTACCAATTGGTTTTGGAATGGAACCTCACTTGGGCTTCATTTGGGTTTTCCCTGCTTATGGTGCGCTTCACGTGCGTGGGACAGCACCCCTTTTCCCTCCATTTCTTACATGGTATCAAGACCGGTTCTATTGGGACCGTGCGATGACGTACCCGTTTCCCAGCCTGTTTCTAGTGGGGCTTGGGCACCCGGCTCCGTATATGGGCTTGGGCTTCTTATGAAGGACTCACAAGTGAGGGACGTATTAGAATATTCACTTGTGAGTTGTCCCACATCGTTTATATAGAGAAAATAAACCTATATTATAAGTCTAATGAACTACTCCTTCCACCAATTGGTTTTGGGATGAAACCTCACTTGGGCTTCATCTAGGTTTTCCCTGCTTATGGTGCACTTCAAGTGCTTTTCCCCCGTTTCTTACAGGTAGGTCTTATGTTAGCCTCGTCTAACCATTATATCGATACATTGTTTTTTTTTGTTAGATAAAATATCCAAGCTTTCATTAATATGTTGAAAAATAATATTAACATATGCATGACATTTGATAGTATAATTGTTTATTTTTATCATATAATATGAATATATGATGGGTCGATATGTCTAATGTTAGTCTAACTCGCACTGTCGCACACTAATTTGTGTGTAATGGTTTGGTGTGTTTAATGGTTAGTTTGGTTTTGATGCTGAAATTACTTTGTTCCTTCATTCAATGGGTTGCCTTTAGTGCACGCCATGTATGATGTATGTATGAAATTTCGAATGTATTTTCATTTTTCAAGCTTATAGGCCTGTCCATTTCACGAAAGTGGTAGGAATTGTATGCGAAAATTTTAAAGAATGGATATTCGAGGAATTATATTTTTGTGCCAAGTGATTAAAATTGACTAATTACTCGTGTACTTTGTGAGTGATTAAAATTGACTAATTACTCGTGTACTTTGTGATCAAGTCATTAGAGAATTATTACTCTATATGCAGTGATTTGTGTTTCAGGAAGTGAGGCACGAATTATCTTTATACCTCATTCTAAATGTGTGGTGTAAATTATTAGCAGTATACATGTTTTATTTATGATTCTTTATTACTATATTGTTATTTCAATATAAAGATTTAAATAGCTTTTATGAAATTGTACCAATTTCTTTGAACTGAATTTGGGAAACATATCACTGTAATATAATAGTTCTCTGCAGTCAGATTATAACAATTAGATATAAATCAATCAAATGCTCGAAAGTGAGCTTTTGACATTCGTCGTTATTGAAACCTATAAACTTATCACGAGTGTGCTTAACGGTGTACTAACAAGAGCAAGAATTAAAAATAGCGGAAGCAATAAACCAGAGAAGCATCTCACTTCCCTTCAGAGCTCTTTCATTGATAACTATCAAGGATATAGTTTGGACTTATAAGCTATAACTCCCTTCTAATCTAGCCACAACTATGAACTAGCCTATCAACCCGTTGACTTGTTTTCACACACTTACTCCCTAAGTGTAAATCACAAAATGTTTGGGTCAAAATAAAATAGATACAATCAAAATGATTTCAGTTCCTTGATCACCAAATGTATCAAGAACCGAAATTAATAAACAAAAACTGTAAGCACTGAAAATTTGTAACTCGAAGACGACTTATATAGAATTGACAATCTCAGCAACCTCTTTTGATCTTCAAGTCTGACATATATACACTCTCCTTAGGGTTGGAGTCTTTTCCAAGCATGTGACTCCATTCTCGATTTTCTTCCTAAAATGTAGCAAGTGATATAGTAAGTGATAATATTCCTTTTTGCTCTCCAAGATCTACTTCACGAGCATGCCTCTCTTTCCTTATTTCCTTAAGATTCGATTTCCTACACGATATAAGCCATAATAAGATCAAGTATTCCGTATTAAATTAGGAAATATAAATTACAAAGAATTTCCCTTATTCAAGGAATCCTTATGCATGCAGGAATTTAGTTGTATCAAACATCCTTACTTTCGAAATCATGCCAAAATAATATATCTTTCAGTTATCGAGTCATATAACCAAGGCGAAGAATGTTTATTATTATATTGAATTTTATTTATCTAATTCTACATTTAGCCAATCATGTTTGCAAAAATCATACAAATACTAATTCTTCACATGGGTAACACATGTGATATCTTTATACTTAATATATTTTTTCTTCATTCTTAAAAAGGCTGAAAAACAGTTGATAACATTTTTCTCTTCTATTCATAAAAATGATAAAAACAGTTGATAATAAAATACTTTGTTATCTATAAAACGGTGCCACAATAATTAGACCATACATAGACCAGCGTAAATTATTTTTAATAGAAAATTGAACAGGCAAACAAATTTTAATTTGACTGAACCTTTATGACCGTAACTATGAGAAAATTCCAACAATGGTCATCCAATTAAAATGAATCTCGATTGCAATGAAAATTTGTGAATACAACCTCTGACAAGAAAAACAAAATATTTAGTCGTCTAATCAAAAGACAATGTACAAATTGAATCAAAAGACAATACACCCTCAGCTGTGCTCTTTTTACCTATAATGTCCCGTACCAAACAGTACAATCCTTCTTAATAGCGACTTTTGTATTCTCATAATTTTCTACCACGACTTTATCTCTCTCTACACTATTGACTTTTCCAAAAGTGATCCACGTCATCACGCTCCACCTTAACCAGGCCCACCTCTCTCCGTACAAAATACGTATATACATGTGTAAATACACAAATTCTGTGGGGAAGATAAAAAGAGTCATGTAAGCATTAGGATTTGCAGCAGTCAATTTTTATTCTATAAAACGATCATGGTTTCAAATATGGGTTTATTTTTTCTGGGAGCTGTATTTGTGGGTTTTTATCTTTCTGGATTTCGAGAATAGGGGCTGGTGGCGTCGTATGTGAGATATTATACCCTTTTGGTAAGTCAAGATCTAATTTTTATTTGTGGGTCTGTGAATTTTTCTCCAGCCCATTTGTTTTATTTTATTTGGAATTTTCTAATCACGCAATTATTAGCGTTGTTTGGTGGCGAATGGGGGTATATACAATGTATTCCTTTATTTTCAAGGCAATTGAGCACACTTTTGTTTTGTTTTGTTTTGTTTTGGTTCTTGATAATAAATATTTCGTATGTATTTTGTTGTTTCACAATTGGTTTTTTTTCCCCTTTTTTGCGGTTGATTTTCTTACTGTGTGTTTGGGGGGACTTCACGGGATTTTCAATTTTCAGGCTTTGAAGGAAGAAGGTGGAGGAGTTTGACTTTGATGCTGAAAAGGGTTCCTATTTCTGCTGTTGGAGCCCTTTTTTCTGGTTAGATTTTTTTGTTTGTTGGAGATTATTACTGTGATTAATCCTGCAAAATTAGATTGAGATTTTAAAAAAAAAAAAAAA